CTGTCCTAAATGGCCGCCATATCCAACAATTAGTATACTGGGGCCTGTTTCACGAAATTTTAACTAAGATAAAATCCAAATTTTAGTAATTTGATTGGATAATATTAGACTGATTGTAGTGCTTAGCCAATCAAAATTGAAGTATCTACTAAAATTTGGATTTTATCTTTAGTTAAGATTTCGAGAAACAGGGCCCCGTTTTGTAATGCTGCTCTAACCCTTTTCACACAGCGATTAAATAAACAATTTCAATTTTATTAAATGCAAGCAGAATAAATACTTCTCGAAGGATACTTAAAGACAACCGGAAAACCTTTTTTTAAAATTATTTTTAAATATTGTAAGTTATTATGTCAACATATCCTTTCCATAAGTATAACACGATCCCGAATGTCAATGTTACCTGTCACATGTAAATTTCAACGTTAGCGATTTACGCCGTTCTACGTGAGTAGACGTAACTTTCCACCAATAAACTAATTTTAGTCCTGCTCATTTCTAGAAATATAGACTAGAAAATGAGCAGTAGAAAGGGCCTGTTTATTGGTGAAAAGTTACTGTTATCTGTTCAAAAATGGTTGAATTGCATTCCGTGTTTACATCAATCAAGTAGGGGAGGGAGAGAGAGAGAGAGTTTAACATCCACTCGACACAAACTAGGTCATTTCGAGGCTAACACATGGTTCAATTTTATTTCAATAATTTGCTTGCGCGTAGGAGTCTTTCGCAGTGGGAGGAAACCGGGGGACCCGAAGAAACCCCACGAAGTTGGACAGGCGACCCTTCTCTTTGTCACGTGCTAACCATTCGGCCATCCAACCCCCCTCAATCAAACAGGACTGTATTGTATCTAAATTCACTCAGCAAGGCAAAGCTCGGATGATTCCGTTACTCTGCATACTGGAATCTGCTGAGGTTTGCCGAGTGTATCTAAGGTAAGATCACAGCATATGGTCTCAATTCAAATTTTATATACAATGGAATTTAAAGATACAATTTCATATTTTTAAGTTATATTTTTATAATGTATTAAAATAATGCCTTCAAATCGACGCTATGTATAAACAGTCCTACCTTGATAAAGAATAATCACTATTGCCAGTTGAGAAATTGGCAAAAATATCATTTTCAACTTCAAATTCAAACGTTTGAAGATAGCTATTCCATTGCAGGGAATAGAAAAACAAGGGAGGTAATTGTGTTATTATTTCCGGTGTGAAATATTTTTGAGTGTGAGAATGATAACTATGATCGTATAATAGTGAGTTGACAACCTATTGAGCAAAAGACATAGAAATAATTGTTTTAACTTTCTTAGAAAATATGAAATTCTCGCTTTAATGTCTCATCAAGTCAACACAGTATTAGGTTATTTTGCAATCTGATTAAAATACAGATCTATATTTTTTTTATGAAGATCTGACCAGTTGTACTGGGAGGTCGTGCCAGGGGCTCACACGAGCGGCTTGTGACCCTATGACGTCAGACATTGAATAATCAATCAGCGTTGACGTCTCTAGTGGTTTACCCAGTTCCGTGCATCACACGCCAAGAATTCGCCGTAATAGACCGTTTCATTGGCTAATTCCTCACATCAACTAGAACGCCTGTTATATAACAACTCTTCGAGATCCTAGTGTTGTGAAGACAAGTAAAACCAAATTTTGAATAATAAAAAAACGAAACGAAATAGGATTTGTGTTTTAATCAGATTGCATAGATATGCGTATTCTACATATCATAACCTACATAAAATTGAACATAAATTATGACGTCACATTAATAATGACGTCATTGCATTAATCATATTAAACATACATTATGGGACGAAAAATCAAAACTCCTTGTACACAGTAGGCGGAAATTTGCCTTGATTTCAAACTTCATTCTCAAACTCAAACATACATTATGCAAGAGCTAAATCTGCCTATTGCAGAAGTCATTCTTTAGGCCTGAAATGTTATCTAAATTATTAATTAGACATTTATTAACTTATCCAGACGATAAGCTTGTGATGTTTATTGGATTAGGTTCCGATTTCCTATGCGACTTCCATTCATAGTTTAATCATGAAATGGATAATTGAGAGTATGTTCTTAGTAATGATGATCGAGGCTAGACCGAAAATTTAATCGCTAAAATCTCGGTTCAGAGTGGGGCTCAATTTGACTGAAATTTTCAGCAAATTCCCTTTACATTATCTAGTTTTTAACTATTATAGTAAAAGCTGCAAGCTCTTTATCTAATCGCCCATAATGTATCTTTAAGTAAAGAATTTACTCAAATTTCAATCACTGTTCATAAGAAATATCTTCGATCCAGAAACACAAAATTTTGCACATGCATGATGTTTTTTTATTGGTGTATTAGATACATTAAAACAACAAAAGTGTTATAAATGACTATATTTTAGTTAAAATAAGGCGAACAATTTTGAGTAAATTCTTAACTTAAATCTGAGAATGCCAGTTTGAGCAGAAGACTCGAGCTCCACAATTACGTGGACGCCATTTGAGAGAGAGAGAGAGAGAGAGAGAGAGAGAGAGAGAGAGAGAGAGAGATGGGGTTTAACGTACACTCGACACATAATAGGTCATTTCGGGACTATTTCAATAATTCGCTTGCGTGTAGGGGTCTTTAGCAGTGGGGGGAAACCGGAGAACCCGAAGAAAACCCACGAGGGGATGCCATTTGAATACAGCTAGCCATATTATAAGGTAATACGCAATATATATTTATAATATAAATTTGAAATGAGCTATATTATAAGGTAATACGAAATATATATTTATAATATAAATTTGAAATGGTGGTTGTTTGATTTAAAACTCACCTATAATATATCGCTGGTCTTGTGTTTTATCAACCTACGACTGTTGATATATACTGACCGAGATAAAACCACGTGACCTGCTGTGTGAACGACATATCTACTCATTATCTATTATAACCTTCACCCACGGTGCAAGATGTACAGAGGCGGACCCACGATATTTGGTTGTGGTGGGGGGGGGGGGTGTATCTGGAGAAAAAGAGAACTAGCTATGTTTACCACGTGACCATGATCACGTTGCATCACTGTAGGTAAGAAGGCCTCGACAGTCTAAAGTGATAAAATCACATTTCAGAGAGAGAGAGAGAAAGAGAGAGAGGAGATTAATGTCCACTCGACACAAACTAGGTCGTTTCGGGACTAACATCTGCTTCAGTTATATTTCAATAATTCTCTTGTGCGTAGGGGTCTTTAGTAGTGGGTGGACCCAGAGAAAACCCACGAGGTTAGATAGGCGATCCTACTCGTCACGTACAAGCGAGGAATCAAAACCATGCCAGGTGACTCAATGACAGACCTTATGAGGCAACACATTAAACCATTCGATCCCCAAACCCCACGCGAATATAACATTTAATTTTAAAAAAATGATAAAATTTACACGTTCCTTAGATTCAATATTTAGTAAATTCTATATGGTCAGGTAAGGGAGTCCTGGACCCCTATACACATCCCACCTGCATTCAGTAATAAGAGAATTTAAATTTTTTACGGTCAGCTAAGGGAGCCCTTAACCCTTACACATCCCACTTGGATCCGTCACTGAAGATGTCTCCAGGTCATATTAGATTAAAGTCGATTCAATCGTCCCATTTATTGTGTAATGGTTTTATAGCGAAATGAAATGAAATGGTGTTTAATGTCCTACTGTTCTGCTCCGACTGGGCTAATGAAGACTGGCATAGACTAATACACTGTGCTACGAGGGAAATTTTGCCCGGACAGCTGCGCTATGGCCTACTTTTATTTCAAATATCAACTGTCAAGATGCATTTCACGTGCACGCTATGAGACCTCGGGTAAGACACTTCTTGTTGTCAGGCCCTCCGAGGTTGGACGCCACGCCACTTGACTCAACCATTCGCCCCCCCCCCCCCCACATCGTAATTTGTGGACCAAAATATAACACACCAAAAGATCAGATTTATACATTCCCAATGATCGGCCATTTTTCATCCCGTTTTTGATCCCTGCATTGGCCGAGAAAGTTCATCCAGATTTTCCGGCGTGGTTTCCCCCCTCGTCAGTGATGCAAGACGGAGGGCCTGACAAGGACAGCTGTCTAGTCGTTCTGATGTGATGAAAAAACGAGGTCCCGTGTACATATTGGCGTGCACGTAAAAGATCCCTTGACAGTTGGAATTCGATATAAGAGTAGGCCGTAGTGCCGCTGTTCGGGCAAAATTTCCCTCATAGCACAGTGTATTAGCCTATGCCCGTCGATCTTCATTAGCCCAGTCGGAGCAGAACAGTAGGACGTTAAACCCCATTTCATTTCATTTTTTTCATCCCGTTACAATGTAGACTCAGACGCTAGGCCAGTGATTCTCTACCTGTGTGCCGCCGCGAAATTTTTAACGGCACACTAAGAAAATGTGAAAAACCACGTGATCCCAATTGAGTATTCATTTGTGTCTAATGATAAGTTCATAGCTGTGTTTTTCTTTATTTAGTTTAGTTTGAGTCATTCTATGTGTCTATGACTAGTCTCTGTCTACGGTTGTATGTCGTCTATGACTTGCCATGTTTTTATTTTACAAAATTCAAATATTTTTCATATATATTTAGCCAGGCGTGCCGTTATTTTTTCTTGTGTTCCAAGGTGTGCCGTTGGCCCAAAAAAAAAAAAAAAAAAAAAAAAAAATGTCGACAACTAAGACAAGAAACTACTGCTACAGACAAGTTTTATTTTAATTGAATAACGACTAGGGTTTTTTTTTCATCCCGTTACCATGTAGACTCAGATACTAAGACGAGAAATCACTGCAACAGGCAAGTTTTATTTTGGTTGAATAACAGATTAGTTTTTTTTTTCATCCCGTTACCATGTAGACTCAGACACTAAGACGAGCAATCACTGCAACAGGCAAGTTTTATTTTGGTTGAATAACAGACTAGTTTTTTTTTCATCCCGTTACCATGTAGACTCAGACACTAAGACAAGAAATGACTGCAACAGGCAAGTTTTATTTTAGTTGAATAACAGACTAGTATAAAGTGGAACATTAAATTATGATGAAACATGTACAAAATAAACTAACAATATATGGCTAGATATATATCTTAAGGTCACCTGCAGATTTGGTCAAAGGTCACGAGATGTAAACGGGGCTAGCACCAATCCCAAACCCTCACCCTGGACCTAGCCCTAACCCACAATCTCGCCATCAATCACGTGCACTAACCTTATTTACATCTCATCGACCTGAGAAAATCTGAAGGTGACCTTCGGAAATAGATCTAGCCAACAAAATAAATATCAAGATCTTAATGCTTTGGTCTTACTTTAGAAAATTATTTTCATGCCCACTAGGGATAGGCATATCCGTAATTTCCACACAGAGTCATCATTCTGCACAGAGACCCATCTACTTCATACTTCGAGAATAGATCTCTGTCCTAAATGGCCGCCATATCCAACAATTAGTATACTGGGGCCTGTTTCACGAAATTTTAACTAAGATAAAATCCAAATTTTAGTAATTTGATTGGATAATATTAGACTGATTGTAGTGCTTAGCCAATCAAAATTGAAGTATCTACTAAAATTTGGATTTTATCTTTAGTTAAGATTTCGAGAAACAGGGCCCCGTTTTGTAATGCTGCTCTAACCCTTTTCACACAGCGATTAAATAAACAATTTCAATTTTATTAAATGCAAGCAGAATAAATACTTCTCGAAGGATACTTAAAGACAACCGGAAAACCTTTTTTTAAAATTATTTTTAAATATTGTAAGTTATTATGTCAACATATCCTTTCCATAAGTATAACACGATCCCGAATGTCAATGTTACCTGTCACATGTAAATTTCAACGTTAGCGATTTACGCCGTTCTACGTGAGTAGACGTAACTTTCCACCAATAAACTAATTTTAGTCCTGCTCATTTCTAGAAATATAGACTAGAAAATGAGCAGTAGAAAGGGCCTGTTTATTGGTGAAAAGTTACTGTTATCTGTTCAAAAATGGTTGAATTGCATTCCGTGTTTACATCAATCAAGTAGGGGAGGGAGAGAGAGAGAGAGTTTAACATCCACTCGACACAAACTAGGTCATTTCGAGGCTAACACATGGTTCAATTTTATTTCAATAATTTGCTTGCGCGTAGGAGTCTTTCGCAGTGGGAGGAAACCGGGGGACCCGAAGAAACCCCACGAAGTTGGACAGGCGACCCTTCTCTTTGTCACGTGCTAACCATTCGGCCATCCAACCCCCCTCAATCAAACAGGACTGTATTGTATCTAAATTCACTCAGCAAGGCAAAGCTCGGATGATTCCGTTACTCTGCATACTGGAATCTGCTGAGGTTTGCCGAGTGTATCTAAGGTAAGATCACAGCATATGGTCTCAATTCAAATTTTATATACAATGGAATTTAAAGATACAATTTCATATTTTTAAGTTATATTTTTATAATGTATTAAAATAATGCCTTCAAATCGACGCTATGTATAAACAGTCCTACCTTGATAAAGAATAATCACTATTGCCAGTTGAGAAATTGGCAAAAATATCATTTTCAACTTCAAATTCAAACGTTTGAAGATAGCTATTCCATTGCAGGGAATAGAAAAACAAGGGAGGTAATTGTGTTATTATTTCCGGTGTGAAATATTTTTGAGTGTGAGAATGATAACTATGATCGTATAATAGTGAGTTGACAACCTATTGAGCAAAAGACATAGAAATAATTGTTTTAACTTTCTTAGAAAATATGAAATTCTCGCTTTAATGTCTCATCAAGTCAACACAGTATTAGGTTATTTTGCAATCTGATTAAAATACAGATCTATATTTTTTTTATGAAGATCTGACCAGTTGTACTGGGAGGTCGTGCCAGGGGCTCACACGAGCGGCTTGTGACCCTATGACGTCAGACATTGAATAATCAATCAGCGTTGACGTCTCTAGTGGTTTACCCAGTTCCGTGCATCACACGCCAAGAATTCGCCGTAATAGACCGTTTCATTGGCTAATTCCTCACATCAACTAGAACGCCTGTTATATAACAACTCTTCGAGATCCTAGTGTTGTGAAGACAAGTAAAACCAAATTTTGAATAATAAAAAAACGAAACGAAATAGGATTTGTGTTTTAATCAGATTGCATAGATATGCGTATTCTACATATCATAACCTACATAAAATTGAACATAAATTATGACGTCACATTAATAATGACGTCATTGCATTAATCATATTAAACATACATTATGACGTCACATTAATAATGACGTCATTGTATTAATCATATTAAACATACATTATGCGAGAGCTAAATCTGCCTATTGCAGGTCTTTCTTTAGGCCTGAAATGTTATCTAAATTATTAATTAGACATTAATTAACTTATCCAGACAGTAATCAACTCTAGATGGCATCGCTAGACTGCGATGTTTATTGGATTAGGTTCTGATTTGCTGTTCGACTTCCATTCATAATTTAATCATGAAATGGATAATCGAGACTATGTTTTTTATCGTACTGACTTTAGTAATAACAATCGAGGCTAGGCCGTAAATTCAATCGCTAAAATCTCGGTTCAGAGTGCACCAATTTGACTCAAATTTTCAGCAAATTGCCTTTACATTATTTAAGTTTTAACTATTATAGTGAGAACTGTCGGCTCTTTATCTAATCTCCCATAATGTATCTTTAAATGATTTCATAAAAATAAACAAAGTTATGGATAATTGAAATTTTGGATACAATGTGTAGAATTATAACACGTTTCCTTTTTACAATAAACTGGGTCACAATGACAAAAAAAAGAAAGAAAAAAGAGAGATCTTTTGTCGGTGTATGGGTCAAATATGGCATTGTCGGTTAATCATTTTGTATGTATTGGTTTGTTTTGCGCTTCGGGGCTAACACATGGTTGATTTTCATTATTTCAATAATTCCCTTGCGCGCAGGGTTCTCTAACAGTGGGAGGATACCGGAGAAAACCAACGTGGTTGGACCGGCGACCTTACTAATTGTCACGTACAGAAACCACGCCAGTTGACTCAATGACAGACCTTATGATATAGCGCGCATAGGGAGGACTGCTAGTTCTTTATCTAAATCTTACATAATGTATCTTTAAGTTCGTTCAGCGAGTTAAGTTACAATTTCTACTTAACTCTTAGGTGTTACTTAAACCTTGGATTAACCAGTCAAATAATGTTTATATAGTCTTAATCAACCAGTCGCATTTGTTTCATTATCAATCGTCCAATCCCTGTTGTGATTTAACCAATCGTCGCTGTTGTTTATCCTGTTGTTCAGATCAATCAATCAATGTTTTTGTAGTAAATGGTGAGGTCAGATACAGCCAACCAATGATGTTATACTATGTAAGGTCCAACCCATCCATGTGGGTGTCTGTTGATGGTGAAATCAGGTCCAATCAGTTCTGTTGTACCATGTGTGTCTTATCAACCAATCATTTCTGTTGTATCATGTGGCTGTCTGTATCAACCAATCACTGTTCCTCTATTACATGTATATCGTCTATACTGACACCTTCAGGTTGTATCTCGACGGTTTCCATCACGTTCTCGTGTTCCTCGATCGCTTCTTGTTCTATGAACTCCATAGAACCAACGACTTCCTCGGCGACTTCTTCCTGGTCCTCTGGGTTGATGATCTGCAGAATAACCACCGTCTGTTCACCGTCCGCGGTTTCAATGCCGTCGATTGAGGACTGAATGGAACTTGGAATGGTGATCGTCTCCTGGCCTAAACTGTTTGTCGAAATAACGGCATTAGATAGATCTTGAAGAGCCTCCGCAGCCAAATTATCTGGTAGAATAATCTCGGCTGTTGAATTTCCTGACAGCGTGTTCTCTAGCTGTTGGACAGTTTCCAGTAAAATGGTGGTTTCCTGTTGCTCCTGTTTGACCTCTACTACTTCACCTTGACGACGCATATCGTCCAATGAAACAGAGTTGCGAACAAGATCCATATTGTGTGGATGTTTTCGTTTGAAATGACGTATCATTGTGTGACGATGTCCGCACCGCTCGCTACACAGCGCACAGACGTAGACAATACCGCTATGGAAATTCTGATTGTGGCGTTTTAGTTCGTAAGCTCGGACAAATTTCTTATCGCAAATTTCGCACGTGTATTTATCAACCATGGTATGTTCGAGCTTATGGCGCCTCATCTGTTCGGGATACTTAAACGATCGGGGACACAAACTACACTGAAATTTCTTCTCCTTGTCGTGGGAAAACATGTGAGTTTTCAGGTTACCACTCTGCCGGAACACCTTGCCGCAGGTGGGACACTTGTACGTGGGAGCATTGGTTGTATGGAATTGACGAATATGACACATAAGCCCCGCCTTCGACGTGACAACTTTACCGCAGTACGAACACTGATAGCGGAACTTCTTCTCGTGGACCATCTCCGTGTGGAGCTTGACATAATTTTCAAAATGGAATCTCTTGAAGCAGATGGGACATTCATATTTTTTCTCGCCATGAATACGCATGTGTTTATTCAAATTGCTGGAACTCGTGAATGGTCGACCGCACAGATGACAGACGAGATTTTCACGAATCTGCACTTTGTTCTTTTTTCTGACGATCCTCATTTTCGTCCCGTCCGGCAGAGAACAGACATGGTCGGCGAGATAATCTTTACGGAAGAATTGTCGTTGACACGAATCACACTTAAACTGTGGCGTGCCGTGAATCACCTGATGACGTATCAAGTTCTTCTCGCTCCGGAACTTCTTCTGACACTGCTCGCACGAGAGGAACTGCCCCGTCGTGTCGAAATAGATCGGCTCACATTTGTGGTTATGAAGCGTCCCTACCTTGATGAATCGTTTATGACATGCGGTACAGTAGTGCGGGTGGGTATGGGAGTGATAATGGTCGCGATATTCTTTCGAATCGCGGAAAATCTGAGTACAAATTTCGCATTCAATTTGCCCGTTCTCCTGGATCAAATGATTCGCCAAACAAAATCTATGATGCATTGAATGTTCTTCTTTGCGGCTGAACTGTTTGTGGCAGATATCGCAATCAAAGGCTCCCTGGTGACTGGCCTCGTGTCGGTTGAGGTACGTGATGGAAGAGAAGTTTTTGTTACATTTCGTACATTGGAACTGGATGGTGATATTTTTGGAAGCCTCGCTGCCTAAACACTCGTGGATCTTCAGCTCCTCCTCCGATTGAAACGCCGTCTTGCATTCGGAACAACAGTGTTTAGCACAATTAACCATGTGATTATTGGCGCCAAGCTGGGTGGCGAAAGTCTTTTTGCAGTTCGTGCAGACGAATATCTGGAGGTCGTCGACAGTCTCTGGCATACAGCGGAGAATATGCGTCTGCCACGAGTCCTTACGCGAATAACATTTCCCGCACTTGTCGCATTTATGGAGATCGGTATGTACGGCCATGTGGCGATATAAATATTTCTCGTTTTTGAAAGTTTGTTTACAAATGTCGCATGAGTATTCAAACTCCACGGGATCCTCGCAAACAGTCTCCATATGTTTGTTGTATTCTTCTTCAACGGGGAAAACTTTCCCGCATCGGGGACATTTCTGGCTTTCCGAATGCAAGGCGAAATGCTTGATGACGAAATCAAGCTGGGTGAATTCCTTTTTGCATTGAGCACAGCAATAAATGTTCGGGTCATCCTCGTTAACCCTTTCCTTCATGAAATAAACTTGTTCCGTCTTCTGACATTGGTGTTTCTGGAACGATTCGTTACGCGTGAACCTTTTCCCGCAATCACCGCATTTGTAGCGATCTGTGTGGGCTGGAAGATGGAGTCTAAGATAAGACTGCTGAGTGAATTTTTTCCCGCATTTTCCACACTTGTACAGTTTTTCACCGTCATCATCTTCCGTGATAACCGTCAAGGCTTCTAGCGCCAGTATTTCCTCATCCTTGTCAATACGTATCCTTCGTTTGGGCTCCTCGCCATATTTTCTCAGTTTTCGTTTCCTACCACGTGACGGGGAGTCAGAAATATAATGATCGTCGTCGGCCTGTTCGTTTCTTGACGGCTTAAAATCCATGTCGTCATCTTCGTCGTCCATATATTCAAATTCATCCCCCTCCTCCTCCTCTTCATCATCATCAACATCATCATCAACATCATCGTCTTCTTCATTCTTTTGTTCTTCCGCTTTGGATGTTGGTTCAATTTCAGATTTTCTGGGTCTGCCGCGACCCTTTTTCTCACCATGCGGTGTTCTAGATTTTTTGGGACTAGCATCTTCATCGGATTCGTCAGCGAATTTTCCAGTTGTCCGAATGCCTCTATTGGCACGTCGTGGAAGAACTCGCAATGGAGTAGGGGCAGACGTTCTAATGACAGGCTGTGGGCTGCGTTTCCGAATAGGAATAGACGCCTTAGTCTTAACCGTAGGCTGTGGGCTGCGATTAGCAGAAGGGATAAACGTCTTAACTGGCGGTGGACTACGTTTACGAGTCATTTTCTCGATTTCCAGACTGGTGGTTTTAGATTTTCGTGGTCTCCCTGGACCTCTTTTCGTGGACGTCTTAGGTGTGTCGTCAGTAAGCTGATTTGACCGATTGTCCTCCACTGGTATGGGTGTGTCTTCAGAAGTCAAATTAAGTTGATTTTCATTTATTTCAGTAACTTCATTCTCCCCTGCTTGTTTTGATTCATCCATGGGATCTTCTGTAACCCCAGCAGCAGCAGTAGAAGTATTGCTAACATCAGCAGACGTAGGTGAAGGAACCGTCGAATTGTTTTCATTATCAAAATCATTCCCGGGATCATCACCATCATCATCTTTAGTATCGGTGTTGAGTACAGATGGGGCATCTTCCGCAAGTTTCGGGATAAATTGTTCTAATTCTACATCCGAATCTTTAGTGGCGACTCCAGGATCTGTTTTCGTAGCTTCTGCTGCTTTTCGGAGTGACATGATACTTTCCGCCGCTTCCTGGACATCGGAATCTGGAACAGACTGGGGCAATATATCTTTCATCGGAGGGGCAAACTTTTGTCGACCTGGGGAGATGATCTCATTGGATCCTTCGGTGGTTTTTGTCGGGCTGTCTGAGTGTTTATGTGGATCTTCGGATACGATTTCCTTGGATCCCCCGGGTTTTGTCGAGGTGTCTGAGTGTTTAAGAATGATGTGCTGTTTCAGAACATGGTTAGAGGCAAATTTCTTATCACAAAATAAACAGATATGTTTTTTGTTATGGTTAGCCATGTGTTCTCGAAGTTTCCCCACATTCTTGAACCTACTGGGACACTTCTTACATTTATAGGGTCCCCGGAGAGACCTTTCTGGAATGATGTGGCTTCTAATATGTTTAGCGAAGTCTGAATCGTTAGAAAAGCTTTTATAGCAGGTCTGACAGGTGTGACGGGCCTCTAATTTAACTTCTGGGGGATCTCCATCAACTGGTTCTGTTTTAATAGGAAACTCAGGCTGTTCTGTTACTAATAGGGCTCCTAACATGGCTGAAATGAAATGAAATGAAAATAAAATGGGGTTTAACGTCCTACTGTTTTGCTCCGAACTGGGCTAATGAAGATGGGCATACACCATACAGTGTGCTATGAGGGAAATTTTGCCCGGACAGCGGCACTACGGCCTACTCTTATATCGAATTCCAACTGTCAAGGGATCTTTTACGTGCACGTCAATGTGTACACGGGACCGAATGACTACATAGCTGTCCTTGTCAGGCCCTCCATCCTGCATCACTGACAAGGGGGAACCACGCCGGAAAATCTGGATGAACTTTATTGGCCAATGCAGGGATCGAACACCCGACCTCCAGGCTAGCAAGCCAGCGCCTTACCCACTTAGCCGAAATAACAACAAAAGGCAACATATTAAAACTAATCAATTACAAGTTCTTATCCTACCAAATTCGCCCGGGGCCTAAATTCATCTAGGACCCAACTTCCATGGCCTTAAACATTCACTGAGTCATGCTGGTTAATTTGATAGTATATATGTAGGGGTGGCGTGTGGCAATGAAGCGTAATTCACCCGGGGCTCAGACTCTTACATGTACATAATGCATCTTTAACTGTACAGTTCAATGAAATTTTTTTTGCCCAGGCAGCACTTCATGGGGTTTAATATCCACTTGACACAAACTAGGTCCTTTTTAGGACAAACATATGGTTCAATTTTATTTTAATAATTCGCTTGCGCGTACAGGTCTTTAGCAGTGGGAGGAACCGGAGGACTCGGAGAAAACCCACAAGGTTGGACAAGCGACCCTACTCCTTGTCACGTACAACAGGGGATTTGAAACAACGCTAGTTAACTCAATGACAGACCTTATGATACAACGCCACATGCTAACCATTTAGCCATTCACACCCTCTAAGTAAAATTGAACCGTGTGTTAGTCCCAAAATAACCTAGTTGGTGTTGAGTGGACATTAAACTCAATTTCCCTCTCTCTCTCCCCTCTCTTCCCAGTCCCCCACTCTCGCCCCGCCTATCCCTCATTTTTATCTGGGAGCTCTCCATTACGATTTATTTTCAACTTACTTCTAGTAGTTCCATTAGGTTTCGCATCACGACCTAATTTTTTAGCGTAGTGTGGAGCGTACCAGACCCGTAGTTCTTCGTCCGGCCTGATTACACAGGTTGTACTGTAGAAGACGTTGTGATTGATGGTGTATGCCATACAGTTCTGATTGTATACCGAGTCAGCTGGTCGTATTAAACACATCCAGTTACATTCATTCTCATCTGACGCATCAAAACAGGTTATACTGCCATCTTTATTAAACATCTGAAAATATCAAAACAAATGAAAATATCAAAACAAATAAACATTTCAAAACAAATGGAAATATCAAAACAAATGGAAATGTCAAAACAAATGAAAATATCAAACACCTTAAACCATTTATCAAACATCTGAAAATATGAAAACAAATGAAAATATCAAAACAAATGAAAATATCAACACAAATGAAAATATCAAACATCTGAAAATATCAAAACAAATGAAAATATCAACACAAATGAAAATATCAACACAAATGAAAATATCAACACAAATGAAAATATCAAAACACCTTAAACCACCATGTAATGTATTAAACACTAGTTTTAGTAGAAATCATATAGAGAAGTGGTGTGGGTTTTCTATGCAATAACAATGAGAATTTATAGCAGGTGTCAATGTTACAAGTCATTTATAGCAGGCTTCATTTATTTAACACCTCAGTTGTTAAACCTGTTCAATCATGATAACCATGCTATAAATATAACATAGTAACAGTTCATAGGTTAAAGGTCAAATGTCAAATACCAAACTATGATTAACTGTAAACTGCTAGCTCAGTCTAGTGGAAAAGATGTCTGCATACATCAAACTATTAAAGATGGGTTCCGGCGTACAAACTGGGTGATTTAATGGTATATATGGACCAAAAACATATTCAAACTAATTAATTTGTCATAATTATGCTTCAAATCCTTCTCAAACATTGTAATGCTATTAAAATTCGATCAAACCAGGTCATGTTTACGTCACGTCTGGGGTGTCAGAGGAGAAATCATTGCATACATAAGACGATGTTGTCTTTAATCGCTTATTATTTATTACAAATATCGAATCCTAATTAAATTTTCGGATTATCCACTACCCGCGTCTTTTTCCGTCATTTTTATCTCAGAAAGTATTGTACGTCTAACTCTTCATAAAGTTTATCAACTTGTACATCAAGCGCTCAATGTTCGCTTGTGACCTTTGACATCGTGCGTGCAGAAGGTCATAATCGTCGGGCTGTTGATTAGGGGAAAACTTACATTTTTGTCCCGTATATACGCTCCATGAGTGTTTTTCGGGAATCCAGTATTTTTCTAGTAAGATTGGATATCTCTACTTTTCATATATACCAAAATTGCCATACTTTTATTGCAAATAACCACCCGATAAATACTTTTCTGGGAACCCATCTTTAAATGTTTATTGTTAGTCTCATTTAAAGTAGCTAAGTCTCTAACTCAATATCATCAAAAATCTTTGACATTGAAAACCCAAATTATTTGTCAATTCAAATCAACATTGGTCTTGTGATCTTACAGGGAAAAGATGGGCTTCTGATATCCAATATTCAAGACAAAATAAACATTTTGTCTTTGGTACACGAATCGTGTTGTACCATAATGCGTTTCATTGCCATTTGGAACAAGGGACTCAAAGAACGAGGCTAGACATATTCCACAAGTCATGTCAAATGGTGACGCTATATTCTTATCTGGAGAGCATGCGCAATAAATACCATCGGTTTAGACTGGAATAACTAGACGCTAAAGATTGTCTTCAATTGAGACTTCTGGCGTATTTCGCCGAACATAACTGATTAGAAATTACAATAAAAACAGAAACGATTGAATGTAAATCAATTTATTCATATTACATTATTATATGCGTTGTGACCCATTTGTGTCAATTTCTAGATCCCAAATATTAGTGATTCAGCTCCTTTAAGCCTACAAATAATTCGCAGACTAAAACAGATGCCTTGGGTGGGTTGGGATGGCCTAGTGGTCTAGAGTGTTGCGCTTTAAGCTCTAGCTGGCAGGTCACCTCTGGCTTACGGCTTCAAGATAGGGGCGCCTTCTTAATGTCATAGGTATACCCCCCCCCCCCCCCCCGTTTCCTCTCACAGGAAAGATCACTGCGCGTGTGATAAAATAATAACAATATGACAACTTGTCTGTGATGTCCCCCTTGGTGGGAGAGAGAGAGAGAGAGAGAGAAATGAGTTTTAACGTCCACTCGGGACTAACATACATCTAGGGTTCAGGACGTTAAAACACTAATAGAAGAAGAAATAGATGCCTTACCTTTAGAATAAAGAAATCCATGGCTTCTATATCACAGTTAGTTCGTTTAGCTTCAAACGGGCCAAGCTGGGTTTTTTGAGGGACAACTACTTTTGAGGAAACTCCCAGGGATCCGTCGGCCATTTCTATAATCTGCATCGTGTCTGGTAGTGTAAGACGAGCTCTATAAAAAAAAAATGATGAAATTTATCAAAATACATTTAACATCTTAAAATTCTCTAAGCATGTGACAAGACCTAACAGAATCCTCTAAGCATGTGATGGAGACTAATTGTATGTTTTATAGTTTTTATACTATGTCTTTTAGTTATCAGAAAACAAAATATATGCCCAACACTAGTTCAACTTGCTATTAAATTCAACCCAAGGGAGATAACTGAGCTAAAAGTACACGACTCTTTTACCAATGGTAAAAAATGGTCTTAAATATTTGATATCAGAAGCCTTAGACTACATGTACTTTAATCGTTCTACCCCATTGTCCCTTGCCAGGCCGTCTGTCCTGCACCACGGAAACAATGAAATTTCTCGGAAAACCCTGGAAACAAACAAGAGACCTCCAAGTTAGGGAGCCAACGTTTTTCTAACTGAACTACCGTGGCCACTTCAACTAAAACAAGCGGTTACCATGCAAGATATGCCCACATTTTGCAAGAGATGGACAGAGAACATGCAAAAAAGTGATTTTTTTGTACAATTAGGGGCCATAATCCAGGAATGCGTCAATATCAAAACGAACAGAGAATTTGAGATATAAACATATATGTTAAGGGTTTTCCGTAAAATCAGGAGCCATAATCCATGAACAATTATATAGTACGATACATGTACATGCTAATATCGAAAGGAGAGAGAGAGAAATGGGAATTAACGTCCACTCCACACAGACTAGGTAATTTCGGGACTAACACATGATTCAATTTTATTTCAATAATTGGCTTTTGCACGTAAGGGGTCTTAAGCAGTGGGAGGAAACCGGAGGACCCGGAGAAAACCCACGAGGTTGGACAGGTGATCCTACTTCTTGTCACGTACAACTGGGGAATCGAAACCACACCATTTGACTCAATGATAGACCTTATGATACAGCACGCACATGCTAACCATTCGGCCATCCAACCTCCCTAATATCGAAAGGAAAAGAAATGAAATAAAATTGGGTTTAATGTCCTACTGTTCTGCTCCGAACTGGGCTAATGAAGACGGGCAAACACCATACATTGTGCTATGAGGGAAATTTTGCCCGGACAACGTCAAGGGATCATTTACGTACATGCCAATGTGTACACAGTACCTCAGTTTTTCGTCCCCTCCGAATGACTATACAGCTCTGTCCTTGTCAGACTCTCCGTTAATATCGAAAGGAACCGAGATCTTTGGGAGAATGTAAGCGTATAACAAGGTAAATACCTGGAAACAAATTCGATGACTGTGCCAGGATCCGCGAGTCCCAGTTCTGGACAATATTCTGTCTGATGCTCTCCTCCACATACATCACATTCTACTGCTACCACCGCTGTGGTCGTATCCTCCGCTAGTAAATAAAACACCAGTTTATTAAACATACATGCTGACTCTTCTTGCTATAGTAGCTCAAAAATAGACAATATAAAATGAAAATTTCATTCAAATTACGTCATTCTGATCCAAGTTATCACTGTTTCTAGTTTTGACAAGATGTGTGCATTGTGGTATATTCGAGACTTAGCCTTGCTTTCCCATTTTTAAATTAAATTTTTAAATGGCGAATCATTCTAATCTAGTTAAAATCTTGAGTATCCGATGCCACCGAGAGTTGATTATTGTCTGGATAAGTTAATTAATAATTCATATAACATTTCAGCACTAAAGAAAGCCCTGCAATAGGCAGATTTAGCTCTTGCATAATGTATGTTTTACTTGTAGTATATGTGGAATTAGTACCAATTTTTAATAGCATGATACCTTTTGTGGTACATGTAAAAGTTAAAACAGACTAAACTTACTGGTTTCAGCTTCGGGGGAAGCCATGTTGGTCCAACTTCAGGTGAAACTTGATGTTGAGTTGAAACGATAAAAACTGAAAGTAAAATGAAAATATTTGTATTAACCCTTTAAGTCTGATTGTTTTTTGGGGGTTTTTTTTTGGGGGGGGGGGGGGGGTCATTTCGAGACTAACATATGGTTCAATTTTATTTCAATAACTTGCTTGTGCGTAGGGATTATTAGCAGTGGGAGGAAACCGGAGGACCCAGAGAAAACCCACAAGGTTGAACAGGCGAGCCTACTCTTTGTCATGTACAACCGGGGAATCGAAACCATGCCAGTTGACTCATGTGCTAGTCCCAAAATGACCTAGTTTGTGTCGAGTGGACGTTAAACCCCAATTCTCTCTCTCATATATCTACGGAAAGATCTTGAATTCCTCTATCCAGTGGTATAAAATATTTAACATTTTTTTGTCATTTTTACTGGTCTCCTGAAATGTTCCATATGGAACGTCTGACGGTTAAAGGGTTAAAGGTCAAGCAGTTAGCTGGTGAAAAACTGCTAAAAACTGTTTGGCAGACAGAATATAATAATTATTTGTGTAAAGTCTGATTTCTTGAGGATCTATAGATGTTGAGTAAATCAGGAAATTCAAGAAATATAAAATTAAATGAGGTTTGACGTTCTACTGTTCTGCTACGACTGGGCTAAGGAAGACGCCATGGGCATATGCTATACATGACAGTATGCTATAAGGGAAGTTTTTCCCGGGCAACGGCACTACGGCCTACTCTTATACATGTATATTCCAACTCAGTTTTTCATACCATCCGAGAGAGAGAGAGATAGAGAGAGAGAGAGATGGGGTTTAATGTCCACTCAACACAAACTAAGTCATTTTGGGACTAACATATGGTTCAATTTTATTTCAATAATTTGCTTGCGCGTAGGGGTCTTTAGCAGTGGGAGGAATCTGGAGGACCCGGAGAAAACCCTCGAGGTTGGACAGGCAACCCTACTCCTTGTCACGAACAACTGGGGCATCGAAACCACGCCAGTTGACTCAATGACAGACCTTATGATACAGCATGCATGTGCTAACCATTCGGCCATCCCGCCCCCCTCCCCTGCATGATAGAGAGTGGGGTATTGGTATTGTCTTTCGACAATTCCCTTGATTGAGGGTGGGGAAAATTCCGTTTGGTTTACTTGATAGAGAGTGGGGCAAAAACTTCATTTTAGTCAATTCCTCTCAGTTTGTTAGATCGTGGCAATTTGTGCATCCATTGACAAGGGGATACCACGCGCGAAAATCCTGTGGATATTTCTTGATCGGCACCGGGATCATTCTCAGAACCTCCTGAGTAGTGAGCCAGCGCCTTTTGCAATGTGCCTTCATGAATTTGAACTTCAAGTCTAACTATAGGTTGCCAGGCAACGAAACATACGCTCACAGCAGCCAAGTCGTCCGAGCAGTCAATATGAGTAGTCATATATTTTTACTTTTATTGGTAATGAAACATTTATAATACACTCAAATCTGATTAAGAGTAACAAGTTATCAAAATTCTTTGAAAATAAATATTCTTGTTCGTCTTAGGACCTTGAACTCAGTTTATCAATCTAAAGTCAATCAAATGATAACTTTGGTCTCTAGAGCATCCACAAGATTTTTCAAAGTGATCAAGTGCCATAACTCTGGTAAAAATTATCGGCAATCATTGAAAATCACTGGGCTTCTTTGTCTCACGACCCTAAACACTGTGTATAAATTTAACGTCAATCGGATATTAACTTTAGACTCTACAGCATCAACAAGATTTTCCGATTTTCAAAGTGATCAAGGGCCATACCTCTGGTAAAAATTACAGGAAATCATTGAAAATCACTGGGCTTCTTTGTTTCACGACCCAAAACACTGGGTATAAATTTAACGTCAATCGGATATTAACTTTAGACTCTAGAGTGTCCACAAGATATTTCAAAGGGACCAAGGGTCATAACTCTGGCAGTACTTATTGGATATTGTTGAAAATCAATAGGCTTCTTCGTCTCATGACCTTAAACACTGTGTACAAATCTAAAGTCAATCAGATATTAACTTTAGCCTCTAGAGCGCCCACAATTGCTTGTGGACGCCGGATGTATGGACGAGGGCGACGACAATATACGACCACATTTCAATGTGGGCGTGTAAAACGACCAGCCAGGGTGGGTGGGGGGGTGGATGGCCGAATGGTTAGCGTGTGTGCGTTGTATCATAAGTTCTGTGATTCAGTCAACTGGCGTAGTTTTGTTGGCGTAGTTTTGATTCCCCGGTTGTATGTGACAAGGATAAGGGTCGCCTGTCCAACCTAGTGGGTTTTCTCAGGGTCCTCCAGTTTCCTCCTACAGTACTGCTAAAGACCAGTACGCGCAAATGATTAAATGAAATAAAATTAAACCATTTTTGTCCCGAAATGACCTAATTTGTGTCAAGTGGACATTAAACCCCATCTCTCTCTCTCTAAAAGCGACCAACTATCAGTACTATCACTATCACCATGGTCATGGACCATGTCCATCTCACACAATATGCCATGATATGGTCCATGGAAAATGACCTTGTTGGGTTCTTAATGAAAAGAGAATCAAATTATTTATTTAATGTAAAATATTTAATATCAAATAGGAATCGGAACAACATCTATACAACTGTGAATCGTATGTAACATTACTTTCCGTTTCTTTTCAAGGAGTAAATTTCAGTTGACCTTATTTGATAATATTCGGAACGGTAAAAATGGCGGAATGGCTGAAGCGAACCGCCATTTGCATCACGTTTTTAATCCCATTCAAATGATCGGTTGGGTTTCTGTAACTCCTTGAAACTAACGTGAAAGATGATTTTCAGTGGAGACTTGAATGATGTGAGCGTCTAAATATGTAAGTAATTGGGTGTTGATTAAAAAATTAACTCGAAAACTTACACAAATATCAGAGAAAAATTCGTCTCCGTGTCGGAAAATCTCGCCTGACGCCAACTTACTGCACCCAAGTGATACGCATGCGCGAATGAATTCTCCCGTGTCAGTAATTTTTAGTTGATTTTGTTCGTTATTGTCGTCATTTCTGGCAATTCAAAAAGAGATTCCGTGTTATTAATGCCTCTGGTATTAATTTAATTGATAATATCAGTTGTATGTGTCAGTATTTTATAAATAAAATTGAATTGTTGTAATTTCGTCGCAGACGATTTTGAAGATAAATGATCACCAGATGGCGCGATCAAATGTAACCTAAAAATAGATATGGGGCAAATTTAGCTTTTATTTCACTTTGCCTTTGTCAAGAAATTTCTATAAACCTTGGGCAAATTGGACTTTCACTGGTCTAGTCAAGTAAGATCTCGGGAATTTTAATATTTTATATGGGACAGGGTCTCTAATTCAGTAATGTCAGTAATGGATTTAAGAGTAATGGTGGTATACTAGTAAATGAACTCAGACTAGAGCAGCGACAGTAGATACTAGATTGTAGATAATAAGTAAAGTAGATAAGATAGTACAAATCTTTGCATAGGAAAAGTTCGCGGAAATGTCATTTGCCTAAACTTTGTCATTTTCTGAGGGATGATCACATTATTCCGATTCACGAATCAGTACTCGAAAGTGCATTCCGTTACGTTCCGAGTTTTCATTCGTTTGAAGTCTTCGAATGTCTGGTCATTTGTCATTAGTGGTCAAAGGGAGATAACTTCAATTTACAGCCAGGACATGGCAACAAGAAAACATCTGCGCATTGTTATGATCTTTGTTTATGATTCATCACACTCATCAAGTAATGTGTATTTGATGTTATAAAAGTTTAGGATCTCACATCACCAGTGTTTTACAGCAATAATAAGAATAGGCCTCATATAGGCCTATATATGAAAATGTAGGTGAATCACACACAGTTTTCTCCTAATCTGTTGCCTATTGAGTCAAGTGGCATTATTTTCCCTGCATGTAGGTGACAAGTAGTAGGGTTGCCTGTACAACCTCATGCATTTTCTCAAGGTCCACTGGTTTCATCCCACTGCTAAATTACCCCTACACGCTAGCAAATTATTGAAATAAATGTGTTAGTCCCAAAATGGCCTTGTTTGTGTTGAGTGGACGTTAATCTCTCTCTCTCTCTCTCTCCCCAACCTTTTGGTTTTTTGGTTAAGGACCCTATTAATTAACCCTTCCTGAGCTAACCACTTTACACCCATACAAGGCTATGCAAATATTGAGTAAAAATCAAGCTTTAGACCCTGTGGTGAAAAATCATTCATACCTTGAATATGAATGCGACTACAACTGTAAAATTGCAAATGTATATCCATTATATATGACTTGGGATTTTTGCATATTTTTAGTTTAGATTTTATCGTTACTATGGTTACCAGTGGGTTTCAAAATGGCTGCCATATTATTGTCATAAATGAAATATTGGATAATTTTTTGTCATTAAAAAATTCAAGATGGTCAGAAATAAAGCTATATGGATTATTACCATGATAGATATCTCTTTTGCAAGAATAGTATAGGTTTTTGGGGAAAAGTCACTAAATTGTGATAATAATGGGGTTTTTCTAAAAATAATAAAATGTAAACGAGCAGTATTGACAATTTTGTGGTAGACAATACAAATATAAAATCATCAGTAACAAGTTTTTATTAACAATAAAATAAAAATAAATTAAATATTTGGAAAATAACAATAATATATACCGAAATATTCACATTGTTGCCATGGTAACCAATTTGACCATATCGTATACGTTTATATCGGCAGCGATCTACGTTCTGACTATTGATGGTTGTTCTGTCAATAGAGGAAACCCCCTCGTAATAAAAACTCGTGTTATACACCATCTAAGGTTAAAACCATGCTTTTACAGGGGAGTAAACCAAATTAAATAAACTTCCTGACTATCGTCAGGTGCCGCTCTGACAGACTATAAAATTATCCCGACAATCGTCGGGATTAGCTCAGGAAGGGTTAATGTATTTTGAACATATAAATTATTGAAATAAAATTGAACCATGTGTTAGTCCCAAAATGACCTAGTTTGTGTCAAGTGGACTGAAACCCTCTCTCTCTGTCTCATTTCTTTTTTTTTTATTTCCATTTTCAGACAATGACACACAGAGATGTGGTCAGTTCTCACAAGACGGCGAGCGGTGAAACGTCGACTGGCGGTATTGACTGGAGCAAACCACCTGACATCGATGCCTACCTTGATAAAGAGAACACCCAATACCTTCTAGAGAAACGAACATCACCGCAAAAATGGATATGGAAGTTACGAATGATGAACTCGGCGGGATTCGTGTATTTTTCTGTTTACTCGTTGTCAAGTCTAATTGTTGGCCATTTTTTCACGTTGCCTTATCTTTACGGGTATGACAAAGATGTTTTGAGGAATCGTAAAATCCTGGCGGTGTACATTTTTATCATGCTCGTCACCAATTACATTCTAATTGTTGTACGATCCAAGCGTTCAAGGTTCGGTATTTTTAGCCAGATGTTGCCGTCTGCTAATCAAGCTCATTGGACGAAATGTCCTAATTGTGATATTTTAGTGCCACCGAGAGCCAAACACTGTGTTCTATGTGATGTGTGCGTTCTAAAACGAGACCACCATTGTTTTTTTGCGGGATGCTGCATTGGATTTCATAACCAGCGTTACTTTATTGTGTTCTGCTTGTATGGCTGCCTTGGAGCGATGTACAGTTTATACGTGACTTATTGTTTCCTAGAAATCCATTACATCCCACTCTTTAGTCTGGATTTCTATGGTTACCTGATGCCATGGTTGCTATGGAGATGGTATCTAGGGGTAATCCACCATTCTGTTATCTGGCTTGCCCTTCTGCTTTATCTGTCCTTGACCACCTTAATAGCCTGTGGATATTTCTTGACGTGGCAGTTGGTCCTTTTATGCACGGGACAAACTACATATGAATTTTTGAAACGGAACAAAACATTCAAGCAGCCATTGACGGAGAATCTTAAGTCTATATTCGGGAAGTGGTCACTCATTAACTTTATTATTCCCCTACCATGGATACGCAATGAAGGGGATGGTAGAAAATGGAAGACAAGATGCAGCCTGGATGAAAAACATTTCTAAGGATTTATTCAAATTTTATTTATTGTAAAATGGTCCCGAAGTTGATTTTTATTAATTTTCTGTGATGTATAACAAATGATTTAGCTGCTGTGGGCGTATGTTTCGTAGCCTGGCAACCTATCCTCTGTGATGTATAACAATTGAATGGTGTATTTACCTTGTCTCAAAATTTCAGCTCAAAACCACCTATCCGGACACGTAACCCTTTTAAGATTTCGGGTGGATTTTTCCTTGGGTGACCTGATAATCTATTGCCTTTCCTTTAGAGGTCTATACAGTGTATGACCAACGTGCTATACTTGATAACGAAAGGTAAATTTCACCTACACGTTATTTTTATAAAATAAAAGTCTAGTTTTATCCAGACACCATATAATACAACTTGGGACACTGGTTTCCATTTCCAGATGAAGACTGACTGGTTAAACATATATTGAGTTAGTTGCTCGGCCCGAAGGTAGGGTATTATTAAGCAGTGGACACATTAGCCAAATTATTTGGCCGAATCAATCGGCGCCAAATTTTGTTCTGCCGAATGGGTGGACACACTAGCCGAATGCTTCTCCCGATTCACCAGTCGATTGCATCACCTTTCACGTCACATGATTAAACATGGCGGCGTCTACATGTATGTCTTGGCTAAAGAATTCTACATTCGGCCGAATGCTTCGGCAAAGCTGACAAACCAGGCGAATATATCAAACCTGTTTGATTCGGGCAAATCATTTGGCCGAATAGAAATTCGGCCGAATCATTCGGCCGAATGACAGTGGAGACACTAGGCGAATTTTGACGCCGATTGATTCGGCCGAATCATTCGGCTAGTGTGTCCAACGCTTAAGGATTTGGACACAAAATTGGGAAGTTTTATTCTTCAAAATATAATCGAGATTGGCCCTTTAATCCATCAACTGTAATATATTATATAAATAGGAATAAAGCAACAACTGTGATTTAAGTTATATGTAATTCATTCCAAATTAAAGAATATTTAAATTGTCTTTAATTATTAGGCTAATTAATAAATAATTCATATTTATTCAAATTGATGTTTGTGGCAATAAATGATAAGAATTTTATTTTATTAATTCTGTTCTTGGTGAATGATAATTATGTTATTTTATAAATTCTATTCTTGGTGAATGATAATTATGTTATTTTATTAATTCTACACTTGGTGAATGATAAAAATATTATTTTATTAATTCTATTATTGGTGAATGATAAAAATGTTATTTTATTAATTCTACACTTGGTGAACAATAAAAATGTTATTTATTAATTCTACTCTTGGTGAACAATAAAAATGTTATTTATTAATTCTACTCTTGGTGAATGATAAAAATGTTATTTTATTAATTCTACCCTTGGTGAATGATAAAAATGTTATTTTATTAATTCTACTCTTGGTGAATGATAAAAATGTTATTTTATTAATTCTACTCTTGGTGAATGATAAAAATGTTGTTTATTAATTCATTACTTGGTGAATGATAAAAATGTTATTTTATTAATTCTACCCTTGGTGAATGATAAAAATGTTATTTTATTAATTCTACCCTTGGTGAATGATAAAAATGTTATTTTATTAATTCTACTCTTGGTGAATGATAAAAATGTTGTTTATTAATTCTACTCTTGGTGAATGATAAAAATATTATTTTATTAATTCTACTCTTGGTGAATAATAAAAGTATTATTTTATTAATTCTACCCTTGGTGAATGATAAAAATATTATTTAATTAATTCTACTCTTGGTGAATGATAAAAATGTTATTTTATTAATTCTACTCTTGGTGGATGATAAAAACGTTATTTTATTAATTCATTACTTCGTTAATGATAAAAATATTATTTTATTAATTTTACTCTTGGTGAATGATAAAAATGTTGTTTATTAATTCTACTCTTGGTGAATGATAAAAATATTATTTTATTAATTCTACTCTTGGTGAATAATAAAAGTATTATTTTATTAATTCTACCCTTGGTGAATGATAAAAATATTATTTAATTAATTCTACTCTTGGTAAATGATAAAAATGTTCTTTATTAATTCATTACTTGGTGAATGATAAAAATATTATTTTATTAATTCTACTCTTGGTTAATGATAAAAATGTTATTTTATTAATTCTACCCTTGGTGAATGATAAAAATATTATTTTATTAATTCTACTCTTGGTGAATGATAAAAATGTTGTTTATTAATTCATTACTTGGTGAATGATAAAAATGTTATTTTATTAATTCTACCCTTGGTGAATGATAAAAATGTTATTTTATTAATTCTACCCTTGGTGAATGATAAAAATATTATTTTATTAATTCTACTCTTGGTGAATGATAAAAATGTTGTTTATTAATTCATTACTTGGTGAATGATAAAAATATTATTTTATTAATTCTACTCTTGATTAATGATAAAAATGTTATTTTATTAATTCTACCCTTGGTGAATGATATGTTATTTTATTAAAGATACATTATGGGAGATTAGATAAAGAGATGGCAGTTCTCACTATAATTCATTAAAAACTAGATAATGTAAAGGGAATTTGCTGAAAATTTCAGTCAAATTGATCCACTCCGAACCGAGAATTTAGCGATTGAATTTTGGGCCTGGCCTCGATTGTCATTACTTAAGTTGGTAGATAAAAAACATAGTCTTGATTATCCATTTTTTGATTTAAACATGAACGAGTGTTGAGCAGCAGATCGGATTATAATCCAGTAAATATCGCAGGCTAGCCATGCCATCGCGAGATGATTATGGTCTGGATAAGTTGATTAATGTCTAATTAATATTTTATATAAAATTTAATGCCTAAAGAAAGACAAGCAATAGGCAGATTTAGCTCTTGCATAATGTATGGTTAATTCTACTCTTTGTGAATATTAAAAATATTTTATTAATTATTGATTTTAGTTAATCAATTCTAATGACGTTAAACCTCATCTCCTTTAATTGGCTAAGCCTACAGCTCTGTTCCTAAAGTGGTGGATGGTTTAATGCATATCCTTTGGATCTTAAGGTCTGTCATTGAGTCAGGTGGCGTGGTGTTGATTTCCCACTTGTATGTGACAAGGAGTAAGGTTGCCTGCCTGACCAACCTCATGGGTCTCTCTGGGTCCACTGATTTCCTTTGGGGGGATGGATGGCTGAAAGGTTAGCGTGTGCTTGCTGTATCCTAAAGTCTGTCATTGAGTCAGCTGGCGTGGTTTCGATTCCCACTTGTACGTGACAAGGAGTAGGGTTGTCTGACCAACCTCATGGGTCTCTCCGGGTCCTTCGGTTTCCTTCTACTGTTAAAGACTCTTACACTCAATTATTAAAAATAAAATGATCTATATTATAGCCTCAAAATGACCTAATTTGTGTCCAGGGCTGTGGCCATTACATTGCCAATGTAATTAATTACCTACAAAATTGAACTCAAAATAATCCTTGATGCACTATAGTAGATATTTGTGTATGAAATATTTCTACATATTACAGGCAAAATTTCAAGTGACGGGCAGTGGTAACAAAAACTGATGTTTTCACTGTATAACTTGAAAAATGAATTGAGAATGTATAGTCAATTAACTGTATTTTCTTTTAAGTAATTTCATAAATTGTCTTTTAATCTTACTGAGTGAATATAAATCTTTTAAGAAATCCAGTTTTTAGGTTACACGTCTTTAAAAGGGTCGTACATAAAAAGTAATAAAAGATTTAAAGATTTAAATCTTTTTGTAAAAATTGTAATGAATTGGATTTGTGTCAGATACACTTAATTTACATCTTTAGTGCTATAAAATTTCCAGCTTGTTCTACTGGATATATCTATATGTGCTATAAAATGTAATTAAAATGTAATCGACCATTACATGATTTTTGAAAATTAATTAATTATATTTCCATTACTCATTACTTTTGAAATCTTTCATTACTCACTAGTACATGGCCAGCAGAACAGTAGGATGTTAAACCCCATTTCATTTCATTTAAAGAAATGTAATGATTACATTCCATTACCATTACCCATTACCCCAGCCCTGTTTGTATCGAGTGGACTTTAAACCCCATTCTCCCCCCCCCCACCCCCACCCACCCTTTAGCACCCGTAAATACTGACTAACCCGGCAGCTCTGTTACTGACAAAATTAGAGAATAGTTATGGTTTTTTTACATTGAATTCTGCATCTCATTTTCTAGACCACCTGGGGGTTGGGGGGGGGGTGGATGGCCAAATGGTTAGCGAGTCTGTCATTGAGTAAACTGGCGTCGTTTCGATTCCTCGGTTGTGGAATTATTGAAATAAAATTGAACCATAGGTTAGTCCCGAATGACCTAGTCTGTGTCGAGTGGACGTTAAACCCATCTCTCTCTCTCTCTCACTCTCACTAATAATATTTTATATGAGCCAATGTCTAACCTCCTAAAGTTTTAGTGATATATTTATCTCCCCTTGTTTAACATATTGTTATATTTTATTATTATTAATCATTGAAATGAAATGAAATGGGGTTTAACGTCCTACTGTTCTGCTCCTAAACTGGGCTAATGAAGACGGGCATACGCCATACAGTGTGCTATGAGGGAAATTTTGCCCAGGTAGCGGCACTATCGCCTACTCTTATATCGAATTCCAACTGCCAAGGGATCTTTTACGTGCATTCCAATGTATACATGGGACCTCGGTTTTTCATCTTATTAATCATTGATCATTAAGTTTTCTGTATCTGTATAATCTGTATTATCTCCCCTGTGGACCCGTAATTGAACATTAAAGGTCTTATATAATGATATTGTTTTTTGTATATTTCAGTAATTTCACACTTGTATTTTTATCCTTTGGGGATTAATCTCTGACTTTTCTAAGTGCGAGAGAGAGAGATTTTTATAATTCGCTTGCGCATAGGGGTTTTTAGCAGTGGGAGGAAACCGGAGGACCGGGGACAGGCGACCCTACTCCTTGTCATATACATCCGGAGAATCGAAACCACACCAGTTGACTCAATGACAGACCTTATGATACAGCACACACATGCTAACCATTCGCCCCCCCCCCCCCCCCCCCCCCATCAAACAGGCTAATGATGAATTCATTCACCATGGTGAACACTTATTTTGATTTCCAAATATCAGACAGAGTAACTTTAACATACTGCCAATGGTATACACATAACCTCAGTTTTTTTTGCCCATCCATACAACTAGACATTTGCATTTGCAAGCCCTGCACCAAGGAAAACCGGGGGGGGGGGTCAAGGTGGGTAAGACGCTGGTTCACTAACCTGGAGGTCGGATGTTCCATCCCTGCATTGGCCGAGAAAGTTCATCCGGATTTTCCGGCGTGGTTCCCCCTTTTCTAGTCATTCGGATGAGACGGAAATCCGAGGTCCCGTGTACACATTAGCGTGCACGTAAAAGATCCCTTGACAGTTTGAATTTGATATAAGAGTAGGCCGTAGTGCCGCTGTCCGGGCAAAATTTCCCTCATAGCACACTGTATGGCGTATGCCCGTCTTCATTAGCCCAGTTCGGAGCAGAACAGTTGAACTTTAAACCCCATTTCATTTCATTTCATTTCCAAGTGAAACCAGATAGGAAAATCCTGAGGAATTTTCTGGGCCACACCTGGGATCGACCTCCTTGTTGATGAGCCAGCACCTCACTCACTGTGCCTCATTCACTTGTTGATCAGCCAGCACCTCATTCACTGGGCCTCATTGACGCCAGCGTGCACGTAAAAGAATTCTGGGCAGTTGGAAATTGAGAAAATGGCAAAATTCAGCGATCATGTTTGATCCGACTCCCTTTCTATTTCCATCACTTTTACATTTTAGGATTAGGGTTAGGGTTAGGTATTTAAGATTAAAACCTATCAATTCAGGGTTAGGGGTTTAAGATTAAAACCGATGAGTAACTCAGTAAGACAAAATCTTCAACAACAATGAAATATTGAGACACAAAAATGGGAGTCACATCAAACATGAATGACCAAAATTCTCCTACATTGTATTGTACCACTTAAATACAAATTACCATCTGTCTAAAAAAAAAAACTGACCAAGTTTTTGTGACATCCAACCCTCTTCCATTCTGATTGGTTGAATACTATTAGCAATAATGAAACTATATATATATAACGATCAAAACCAGCGATTCAGAATATTTTGCGAAATCTTGAATTTTTTTTTTAACCAGACCGCTGATTGGTTGTCTAATAAAGGTCAAAGGGAATGTAAATATGCTGTTTGTTGTATCGGGATTGTGGAGTCGGTTTGTAAATAGGGAAGCAAGGAGCCAAGCAAAAGCCAGTGATGTTTCTAAGACATCTTTTCTGCTGAAGTCATTCCGAAACACGACACAGGGGAGACTACTCTATTGAAGTTACATTTTAAAACTACGTCAACACAATATTAGAGCATTATATAACAAAGAGCCTGTTTTTTGTCCCATCCAAACGACTGGGCTTGATTCGCAAATAAGAAAGCTAGGGGTCAAGGAAAGGCCAGTGTAGATTCTAAGGCCCGTTTGCCATGCGTTTCCGGGGACGTTTTCGCCGGCGAAAAAGTCGTTCTAATGCAAATTTAACGGCACCGTTTCTATGTAACCGGCGAAAATGCAAACATGGCAACCGGGCCCGAGACAAACACAATTAGAACATTATATAACACCGTTGTCACATGACCTGAACATGTAGTGACCCTCTCAAGAAACGGCACGAAAACATTGTCTTGTTTTCAATAATTATAGTGCTATTGTGTCTGTAAGAAGTAGGTTGGGGTCTGTGTTTTCTTTTTAAGAAGAGGGGTAGCCTACTTAGAAGCTATTGTGTCTGTAAGAGTTGGGATAGGGAGCTATTGAGTTGGAAGAGAGAGAGAGAGAGAGAGAGAGAGAGAGTTTATCATCCACTCCACACAAAGTAGGTAATTTCGGGACTAACATATGGTTCAAGCGAATTGTTGAAATAAAATTTAACAATATGTTAGTACCGAAATGACCTACTTTGTGTGGAGTGGATGTTACCCCCCCCCCTCTCTCTATCTCTCTCTCTGAACGATGCCCGAGTATAAATTTCTCGAGTATACGGAACACAGTCTGGTGACTTATGGAGGTGGAGGAGTTGACTCAGGAAGACAGGGCCAAATGGCCTCCTTCAAACATTGCACACATAACCACAATCTAGTGGGCGTATTAAGGTTTAACCCATGTCCGTCGATCCGTCCATCTGCAATTGGCTCGTTGTTCCATCATGCAGGGTTAATCAAGAAACCCCACCACTTGACACGCTGACAGACCTTTAATCTCTCGCGCACGCGTTAACCATTCGGCCATCCAACCAAATCGTCGATAAGACATTGGACTCAAATATTTATCTTTGCAATTAACCAAATGATCTACGAATGCAAGACGGAAAACCTTTTAGCGCCACTCGTTAATACCTCGTCATTTTCTCCCCACAGACCACAACAATGATTTGTTATTTCTTATTGATTCATCTTTATTCCATGAATAAAATTTTGTACACAATTAATTTGAACGATTCCCTTGACAGAATAATAACCGCTCCCTGAAACCCAACACGAGCTAAATTGGCCCCTGATGTCGTTAAGGCAAGCCATGTAATTTACTAATACAGATTAAGGGCACACTGAAAGATCAAACAATCCAATTAGAGAAGATATATTAATTCATGCATATTCATAAAGGAACATGGCGGCGTGTAGTGTATATATAAGCACAAAATAAAATCCTTATTTAAAAAAAAAAATCATTTGTCACGCGATATTAATAAAACACAGTCTTGGCAGGGGCGCACAAACATACTTTCCCAGGGGGTGCGCCATCAAAAATTCGGCCCACTCAGCATTTGAAATGAATTATTACCCCCAGTTAGATTGAAAGTAGTTAGTAAGTATATAATTATGTAATATTGATTTGTAGGCCTCAATTTGGTTTGATTGTATGTGTAAGAGACTCCGGCAAACGGTCCATTTTCCCGAAAAAAAACCCAGCCCACTCGACAAAAAAAATCGACCCATTTGCCTATCTGGACTAAGCCCTGCTGTGCGCCCCTGGGTCTTGGGTGAATCATTTGTCACCCGATACTATTAAAACGCAGTGTTTAGAGCAGAAAAAAAATGAAAATATTTTGCATGAAAGATCGTAAAAATGTGAAAATCCTGGTTGGTGACATCATTTCCTGTTTGAGCTCGGTAACCAATGACGTAATATAGTTAGTAACCAGAGAGAATATCACCCAACATGTTGGTGCCATAACTGTATCTCTTATTCCAGCTACCTCGCTTTCCTTCTGATTTATTTTTACACCTAGAAGATAAAAACATGACATCAAAATTAGAAGGAGTCCGTGGTTGTTCAGTGAGTAGGAGAACACCAGATCGGAGACGGTCTAGCTCATTTATGACGTCATAAGTGGAGTGTGGATTAGGGTTAGGGTAAGGGATAGACAGAGACGACAGCCCCAAATTTATTCTTTTTTCTTCAGAAACAAAAATACCAGAATACCACAAGCACTACCTAACGAAGACCATCAGCGCTACCAACACCAAAAAAACACCGAAACCAACTTTGTATATATATACATTTAATGTATTTCATGTAATTTTATAAAACTAGGAAATGTCACGATCTTCGATCTAGTGTCCTCCAAGCGAGTAAGACACTGACTCACTAACAAAGGGGTCCCGGGTTCGCTCCCGGTGTTGACCGAGAAATTTCCTGGGGATTGACTGGTGCCGTTTCACCCGTGTCAGTGATGTAGGACAAAGAGAATTTATGCATGGACATCGTCTAGTAGTTCGATTGGGACGTAAAACCGAGGTCAGTTGTACACATTGAGCTGCGTAACTTTCTTAAGCAAAACAAGGATCGAGCCTAAGTGAGCCAGCGCCTTTCCTAGTGAGCCAGCCCTTTCCTAGTAAGACAGCCCCTTTCGGGACAAACACATGGTTCAATTTTATTTCAATAATTCGCTTAACCGGAGGACCCGGAGAAAACCCACGTGATCGGACAGGCGACCATACTCCTTGTTATGTACAAAGTCCAATCAAATATTACGTCCCCGTATGGATGACTGCCGCAGCCCAATCAAATGTTACGTCCCGGTATGGATGACTGCCGCAGCCCAATCAAATATTACGTCACAGTATAGATGACTACCAAAGTCCAATCAAATATTACGTCCATGTATGGATGACTGTCGCAGCCCAATCAAATATTACGTCACAGTATGGATGATTGACGCAGTCCAATCAAATAAAATATTACTAGCCCGGTATGGATGACTGCCGCAGCACAATCAAATATTACGTCACAGTATGGATGACTGCCGCAGCAAAATCAAATATTACGTCCCGGTATGGATGACTGCTGCCGCCCAATCAAATAAAATGATTACCTATATTCTTCTGGAAAAAAGGTCAGCAGATGGGCACTGAAATCACAGAATCAGGGGAAACAACTCAAATAAAAAACAAAACAAGCGTGAAACAAGCAAACAATATGGTGGTTAATAATCAACGACAAAACATTCTACATTCTAAAAAATAAACAGATCTAAAATCTAACTTCTAAGGAAATTGTAAAATTCTAAGGAAATTGTAAAATTCTAAGGAAATTGTAAGGAAATTGTAAGGAAATTGTAAAATTGTAAGGAAATTGTAAAATTCTAAGGAAATTGTAAAATTCTAAGGAAATTGTAAATTCTAAGGAAGCCTAGATAGTAAATAATTTTAAAGCAAGTATGAACCAGAAACCGAAACGATATCTCAGCCATCTTGGAATCGTGACGTCATATCAAAATCAAAGTCTTAGACTTTTTTTTTAAAGAGCGCCGCCGCCAATGATGTATAATATATTAACTATACGTCATTGGTCGCCACCAAGAAGAAGATGAGCAGCGTTTGACGATCGGTTTCTGGTCCAAAAGGTCTAATACCCCTATGACACATTGTGATTAAAAACATTCAGTGTAAATTGTTACAGTAAAACCTCTATAAACGGACTTTGTTACTAGTAGAGACAAGGGCTTAGCCAGGCTTGTCAACGCCCGGGCACAGCAAATATTGCGTCCCGTAACCGTTTCATAACAGCAAAATTATTACATGGCAACGCTTATTTTTTCCATCATGTTAAAAAACTGAGTAGAATGTTCGAACATTTGTGGATTTTTTGTACGAGGGCGCCCTTTTTTTACTTTCTTTTCATAATTTTGTGCATATGGCAACCGCCCGGGTGGCTCCAACGACTCTACGCTACTAAGTAGAAGTTACTGTGAATGACACAGATACCGATCTGCTAGCCAATACTCTACAGAATTCAGAGGTTCTACTGTACAAGCATATCACAATCTTAAAAGGTTATTAAAAATACATTATGCAATCTGAGCTAAATCTGCCAATTGCAGGTCTTTCTTTAGGCCTGAAATGTTATCTAAATTACCAATTAGACATTAATTAACTTATCCAGACCATAATCAACTCTCGTCGTCACTAGCCTGTGATATTTACTCGATTATAATCCGATCTGCTGCTCAACGCCCATTCATGATTAAATAATATAAAAAAAGTGAATAACCGAGACTATGTTTTTTTTATCGAGGGTAGGCCGAAAATTCAATCTCTAAAATATAGGTTCAGAGTGGATCAATTTGACTGAAATTATCAGCAAATTCCCTTTACATTATCTAGTTTTTAACTATTATAGTGAGAACTACCAGCTCTTTATCTAATCTCCCATAATGTATCTTTAATTTTATTGTATAAAGTGCGAACATTGTAACTGGAAGAATGCCATTACATCCGACTTTATTATATTTAGTCACACTCGGCAAACCGCGACAGACTCCGGTACCCTTAATCGGCTGTAGGACGGTAAGTGATATGTACCTACAACTATACTATTGCGATGCGGCTACCAGTTTACTTATTAGGAAAATATGCCGCTTTTGGAAAGAGGTTCTCAAAATTGCATCGTTCGAAGAGTGTGTAGAGTTTTCATTGCAAAGTTGCAACTTTGTTTAAAAAAAAAAATCGGATAAACTTGATAGAAAAACAGCTTCACACATTGAAAGCTCTGTTATGATAAAACATTCTTCACAGGTGTCTTCATGGGCGTGGTACTTAGTCCTTCCTATACACTGCACAAAATTCTATGGAATACAATTAATGTGGGGAAATGGAACGAAAGGGGGTTTAACGTCCTACTGTTCTGCTCCTAAACTGGGCTAATGAAGACGGGCATACGCCAAACAGTGGGCTCTGAGAAAAATTTTGCCCGGACAGCGACACTACGGTCTACTCTTATATCGAATTCCAACTGTCAAGGGATCTTTTACATACACGCTAATGTGTAGACGGGACCTCGGTTTTTTTGTACCTTCCGAACGACTAGACAGCTGTCCTTGCCAGGCCCTCCTTCCTGCATCACTGTCAAGGGGGAAACACGCCGGAAAATCTGGATGAACTTTCTCGGCCAATGCAGGGATCGAACACCCGACCTCCAGGCTCCACCGTGATCCCCTATTACTCAGGGACAATAACATCTCTAGCTTTTATCAAACAAATAATGGATTTCTACTTCAATTACTAAATTGCATTGAAACACTTTTAGTTCTGAACATAATTTCTTTGACGATCAGAATAATTACTATGGTTACGTAAGAAAAGATTGTCAGTTATTCGTTTATTTCCGCTGTTAAACGATTCATAACACCTAATCAATAACACGTTGTCGGTAATTTCCGTGATTGATTTCCGATACAACATCCGATACAAGGGAATCAAGTTCGTTACATAATTTCTAATTACAAATTTAGCGAATAGCATTAATTTTTGAAAGAGAAATAAAATGGTAGAATATATATGTACCGAGTATGAACCATGTCCGAAAAGTGCAAATCATAAAAGAATATAATGAGCCGCATATACCAGACTCATTGACTATAAGCCTCGATAAACCAGGCTCATTGACTCTAAGCCTCGATAAACCAGACTTAATTACTCCCGCTGCGTTTGAATGAGAATGAAATCAATAAATGAAGAGTTTGTTTGAAAATTTCAATTTTGGTTTATCAGTCCATTCATCTATTAACGTTTAATTTAAGATTTTCGTAATCCCGTTAAGATTTTCGTTATCTCGTTAAGATTTTGGTAAGCCTGATAATGTCAATTTTGGTTTATCAGTCCATTCATCTATTAACGTTTAATTTAAGATTTTCGTAATCCCGTTAAAGGCTCAATACCACTCTTGTTGTAACTGAATAATATGTCCCAATCTTTATTCTAGTCAACAAATTGCACTATTTTACAATATTCCAATGAATTGATGATACAAATTTCATCTTAACACACCTAATTTAAAAAATTGGAAAAATTCAACTAAATGATTTGAAAAGCCTAACGTAAACCTTTTCAAACGTGACTTGGATTTAAAAATATTTTCGAACTCTCTGGACAAGTAAAATAGGATGTAATGGATAATTTACACAACAGGTAGGACACATAAACATCTAATACTTAGAATAAGGCTATTATTTATTTTTTGGAGCTGTCAAGCCAGCAAAAGTGTTATTGTCCCTTTAAGATTTTCGTAATCTCGTTAAAATTTTGGTAAGCCCGATAAGATTTTGGATATTTTTGTATTATTAAACTTGCTAAATTTTAAAACGTCTACAACTGGTAATATTCGGGCGTTTTATATGATAACATAATCCTTTCTACCCCCACCCCCGACACACCTTGTATTCTAAATGCATGTTGGTTCCAGAAAAGTAAAACGTTAATCCCCCTTTCACTGCTTAAAATATAAATTCTGGCTGCATGGTTATATAAAACGCCCGAATATTACCTATGTGTTGAAGTAAAAATAATATATTAAAGATACATTATAAAGAGTCGTCAGTTCTCACTATAAACTAGATAATGTAAAGGGAATTTGCTGAAAATTTCAGTCAAATTTCTGGTGTATCGATAATTTAGCGATTGAATTTTGGGCGTAGTCTCGATCATCATTACTGAAGTCGATATGATAAAAACATAGTCTCGATTATCCATTTCTTGATTTAACGATGTATGAGCGCAGAGCAGCATATCGGGTCATAATCCAACAAATACCGCAGGTTAGCGATGCCATCGAGAGTTGATTATGGTCTGGATCAGTCAATTAATGTCTAATTAATAATTTAGATAACATTTCAGGCCTAAAGAAAGACCTGCAATAGGCAGATTTAGCTCTTGCATAATGTATGTTTAATATGATTAAAACAATGACGTCATTATTAATGTGACGTCATAATGATTGTTTAATGTTATAAATCTATCATTCAAAGTCAGTATATTGACAAGAATCTGCCAGTTTTTTGGGAGAAGATTTTATGAAGCATTTGAATACATTTATTTTAAGAATGATTTCTGGTTGAACTACATGTAGATTCAAAGAATGTTGATTGACCCGGAAGTAGCGTACGGTTGAGATGACTTTATTTACATTCAAGAATAGGGACCATGATAGACTCACTAACAAAGCAGTCTCGGTTTTGGCCGAGAAAATTCTCCGAATGCAATCCGATTAAAATACATATCTATATTTCGTTTCGTTTTTTTTTATACTTTCAATGGCCTCCACTATATGAATATCTGATCGGTTGTAGTGGGAGATCTCGTCAGGGGTCATACGAGAGGCGTTTGACCCTTTGACGTCAGAAATTTGATTAACCAATTAGCGTTGATGTTTCTAGTGGGATGCCCACAGTTCCGTGCACTGTACGCCAAGAACTCGTCGCAAAAGACCATTTCATTGGCTAATCCCTCACATCAACCAGAACACGGGTTATATAACAACTCTTCCAAATCATAGTGTAGTGAAGACAAATAAAACTAAATTTTGAACTATAAAAAAAGTAATGAAATAGATTGTTCTCTGAACTTTTTAGCTTAATTCCAACATGCCAGTGATACAGGGCCTGGTAAGGGAGAGAGAGAGTAATAGGGTTTAACGTCCACTCGACACAAACTAGGTCATTTCGGGACTAACACATGGTTAATTTTATTTCAATAATTCGCTTGCGTGTAGGGGTCTTTAGCAGTGGGAGGAAACCGGAGGACCAGGAGAAAACCCACGAGGTTGGACAGGCAACCCTACTCCTCGTCACGTACAACCGGGGCATCGACACCCCGCCAGTTGACTCAATGACAGACCGTATGATACAGCGCGCACGTGCTAACCATTCGGCCATCCAACTGCTCTGTAACTAGACAGAGTAACAACAAAAACGCATACTTATGGTAAACAGCTACCAGTGTATTTTAAGACGACGTTTCGGAGAGTATTCTCTCAACGTTTTCCATAAATATGTGTTTTTTGGGGGAAGAAGACGGTATCATATTGGGTTTCTAATTTGGATAGAGTAAATTTTGTAGAGCCCGAAATTAAGAGGAATCCGGAATCACTTGGATCAAACAAACCCTACTTATATCGCCAATATATCGAATTATTTCAACCTAACACACCCTAATCCCATGCCAAAATATCGAATGGTTCGTACGAAACTCAATGCTAATATACTGACTATGTACAAGGAAGACTACTAGCAAAATGTGCTCTGCATCTAAATTAAGAACTAATAATAATAGGGACCTTTCGCATCGGTACGAAAACGAACACCAAAAGGAAGATATGTTCGTTTACGTTTTCGTTTTCGTATCCTCTTACACGCTGTTTCGCAATCCGACGTACGATGATAGCTAGATGGTGTTAATTTCCACTCCATGAACTTCTCGGTCAAGGCAAAGTTTTCAATCGATTTTTTGGCAGATGTACAACAAATCAAACAGAATATTGCTGTTGAGCACATTCTACGAACTCTAAAAAATGAACAATATAAAGCCTAGAAAAACGGTGAGAAATTCAATATATGAGACAAGAAATATATTCGTTTGCATACCTACGTAAATCCAGCTCCATACGCGTAACGTTTTTCACTGGCCGAACACTAATTACGGATTGACGTCACAAGTACACACGAATCGATGACGCTTTCGTTTTCGTATTCGTTTTCGTACCGATGCGAAAGGTCCCTAATGTGATTGCTTGTCTAAAAAACTCCAATCTGATTAAAATACAGATCTAAATTTCGTTTCGTTTTTTTATACTTTCGATGGCCCCAACTACATGGAGATCTGATCGATTGTAGTGGGAGATCTCGTCAGGGGTCATACGAGAGGCGTTTGACCCTATGACGTCAGACATTTGATTAACCAATCAGCGTTGATGTTTCTAGTGGGATGCCCACAGCTCCGTGCACTGTATGCCAAGAACTCGTCGCAAAAGACCATTTCATTGGCTGATCCCTCACATCAACCAGACCACGGGTTATATAACAAAACGCGCTTAAAGCTCGCCGTAACAGACCATTTCAGTGGCTAATACCTCACACCATTCAGAACACGTCAATGATAACAACTCTTCCAGATCCTAGTGTAGTAGAGACAAGTAAAACGAAATTTTGAACTAAAAAAACGAAAAACGAAACGAAATAGAATCTGTGTTTTAATCAGATTGAAAAAAATAATAATAAAAATGTGATTGCTTGTCTAAAAATACTAATACAATAAATATTTGACTGTTTGTCTAAAATGCGTCTAAAACATGAAAGAGTTTAAGCAAATTCATTTTATGCAAACGACACAGTCATTTTTTCTGTCAATGTGTATTTGCTGAAGGGCGGAGGACGGGCAAGGGTAGGGGGATGTGGGAGGGTGGAGGACATGCGGTGGTAGGGGTTAAGGGAGGGGCGGAGGACGGGCGAGGGTAGGGGGATGTGGGAAGGAGGAGGACAGGCGGGGGTAGGCAAAATTAATATTAGTCGTTGTCGAGTAAAATTGAAATGAAATGGATTTTAATTTCCCATTGTTCTGCTCCGAACTGGGCTTAGAAGACGGACATACGCCATACAGTGTGCTATGAGGGACATTTTGCGTGGACAGCGGAGCTACGGACTACTCTTATATCGAATTCCAACTGTCAAGCGATCTTTTACGTGCACGCCAATGTGTACAGGGGATCGCGGTTTTTCGTCCCATCCGAACGACTAGACAGCTGTCCTTGTCAGGCCCTCCGCCCTGCATCACCGACAAGGGGGGACCGTCGTCGAGTAGACGTGATGTGTTATGTTAATCCATTATATTCATGCAGACATGCCATAGCGAGAACGAAACGAATTAAAAGTCCAAAATAAAAATAGCAGCCTTTGAGAGAGATAGAAATGGGGTTTAACGTCCACTCGACACAAACTAGAGCATTTCGGGACTAACATATAGTTATATTTTATTTCAATAATTCGTTTGCGCGTAGGGGCTTTACAAGTGTGAGCAAACCGGAGGACCCGGAGAAAACCCACGAGGTTGTACAGGCGACCCTACTTCTTGTCACGTACAACCAGGGAATCGAAACCACGTCAGTTGACTCAATGACAGACCTTATGCTGCAACGCGCACGCGCTACCCCCCACTCCCCCTCTAGTCTTTGAGAAGCCAACACAAACGTCAAATGGTCATAATTAAGAATTTAAAATAAAAGTAGTTTTGGTTGCGCGTGGTATTAATCTCTATATTTAACTTGTTGGTATGTTCGGGCGTTAAGTCCAATTTAAAACAAACTATACTCCTAGTTATGTGCAGTGAAATGTATGTGCTTAAACTCTCGTGTGTTTAGTAGTATATAAATAAAGTCTATTCATACTGCTTTGTATATAATAATAAGAGTCTAAATAAGCAAGTCTATATTATGCTATTCACAGTGCTTTGTATACAAAAATAAGAGACTAAATAAACAAGTCTATATGCTATTAACACTACTTTGTATATAAAAATAAGAGACTAAATAAACAAGTCTATATAATATTAACACTGCGTTGTTTTATGAAATTAAATGGAATGAAATGGGGTTTAACGTCCTACTGTTCTGCTCCTACTAGGCTAATGAAGACGGGCATACGCCATACAGTGTGCAACGAGGGAAATTTTGCACGGGACCTCGGTTTTTCGTCCCATCCGAAAGACTAGACAGCTGTCCTTGTCAGGCCCTCGGTCCTGAATCACTGACAAGGGGGGACATCGCCGGAAAATCTGATGAACTTTCTCGGCCAATGTAGGGATCGAACACCCGAACACCCGACCTCCAGGCTAGCGAGCCAGCGTCTTACCCACTTAGCCACCGTGACCCCCAATGAACATAAGAATGCGCCAGTAAGTAATGTGGTGTAGTTACCTCACAAGAAATGACGTCACATTGAATGTAAGAGTGAGTAGCGTTATAAGACTGAGTTAGATCAAAGTGCAAGCACCCACTAAGTGCCACTTGGAACGTGACCCCACTCCTCTAATGTACTCGACGAGGTCAAAAAGCGTAAATAAAAAGTGATTTGAATGGTGAGAGAACGTGACAAAGCAACGCAGTGTTAATAAAATTAAGCCTTTGCTGACTAACATATCATAATTAACACTTTGCAGTACAATACTTACGGTGGAGATCGGGAGGTTGGTTTACATTCAAAATAGCAGTCCCTGTAGACCTTACAGCAGTCCACGGCCAGATTCTGGGTTAGTTCGTTTCTTTTACAGACAAATAGGTCTCTCATACATCCCACTACACTCACGCATTCCGCCTCACTTTCATATACACATACAGCCAATAAAACACAAGCAAATAACGTCACGTGACTCTTCATTCTGAAATGAAAAGAAAACAATGTAGTTATTAATTAAAAGAAAAAACATCCACGTCCATGGAGTTAAAATACCACCCACGCCCATTATGGATTTCAAATACCACTCACGTCCATTATGGAGTTAAATACCACCCAAGTCCATTATGGAGTTAAATACCACCCACATCCATTATGGAGTTAAAATACCACCCACGTCTATTATGGAGTTCAAATACCACCCACGTCCATTGTGGAGTTCAAATACCACCCACGTCTATTATGGAGTTCAAATACCACCCACGTCCATTGTGGAGTTCAAATACCACCCACTTCCATTATGGAGTTAAAATACCACCCACGTCCATTATGGAGTTAAAATACTACCCACGTCCAGCATGGAGTTAAAAAAAAAGACCTGGTCGGGTGTTCGATCCCTGCATTGGCTGAGAAACTTCATTCAGATTTTCGGGCCTAGTTCCCCCTTGCCAATGGTGCAGGACGAAGAGTCTGACAAGGACAGCTGTCTAGTCTTTCGAATGGGACGAAAACCCGAGTCCAGTCTTCATTATCTCAGTTCGGAGCAGAACAGTAGGACGTTAAACCCCATTTCATTTCACTTCATTTCTGATAATTTCTAAAGTCAACAAAGCTGATTAAAGGTTCATTAGGTAAGATTCGATAAAGATCCGAAAGTTCTCGCTATAATAAGTAAAATATAGATAATGAAAACAGAATATGCTGAAAATTTCAGTCAAATCGCTTCACTCTGAACCGAGATATTGACGATTCAATTTTAGGCTAGCCTCGGACGTCATTACTACCTATGGTACGATAATAAACAAAGTCTCGATTATCCATTTATACGTTAAATCATCCATCACAAAACGCATTGAAATCCACTAAATATCGCAGGCTAACGATGACATCGCGAGTTTATTATGGTCTGGATAAGTGAATTAATGTCTAATTAATAATTTAGATAACATTTAAGACCTAAAGAAAGACCTGCAATAGACAGATTTAGCTCTTCCATAATGCATGTTTAATGACGTCAAATTATTTTGACTTATGTAACACTACAGATAACAGAAGATCAGCATAAATTGATAAGATCTTTATTATTGTTTATTTATCAAATTATGGTATCTGTAACTGCCTTGCGTATTTCCTTTGAAGTCATAAAGTTGTGCCGAGTGTTACACACCGATCATGTGTAGCTTGTAAAGGACTATTGAATTAATTAGTCCGTGCCTTAACAGAAGTTTATACAGAGGTGCAACGTCAATATCATATATTATCAAAATTATCATAAAGTTCTATGCACCTAAATGATCGTTCAATTTGATGAAAGGTAAAGATCACTTTGTCACACTTATATGGACGTATTGTCGCTGTAAAACATACTTTAACAAATAATTATTTTCTTTGATGAAGAAAATGAAACCGAACCCTTCACTGGCGATCACAAGACCGAACCTTTCACGACGCATGAATTATTACTGACACCATTATCACAATTTGTGTAATTTTGACGGCTTCGCTACCCATCCGTTCACTTATTGGCACATTAATAACATATTTTCGCGATGTTTGTTTTCCATAATTGAATCATTGACCCGTCAATTCGACAAAGGCTTTCGAGATGGTAGACAATAGACGTCTTTTACAGTGAAAGATCGTTAATAATGTATATGGTTTGAACATTTCTCTAAAAAGTCGTTTATTATTGATGCAGGTAAACTGAAAAATAGACATAGATCAAAGAGACCTTATGTTCAAGACGAGTTCACAGCTTTGATCCTAGATTGTTCGTGTCTTTACCGGGGAGAGAGAGAAAGAGAGAGAGAGAGAGAGCTAATTTACTCGCACCGATGTCTTCCCTCTCAGTGACTGTAGTGACCAAGTGAATATTTACTGCTGATTAATTTGCAATTTGCAATGACAGACCTATGATACAATGCACATCAGCTAATGGAACCATGTTTTATTGTTGATTTTAACTCCACGATTAAATATATATAAACACAAAACGGTGACATCACTGAGATGGAACACAACAAAACATATACAACGATCGTCTTTAAATATATATACACACAGAACGGTGACATCACTGAGATGGAACACAACAAAACAAATACAATAATCATCTTTAAAGAGAAATTGACACTTTCTTCGGAGAGAAATGGGGTTTAACGTCCACTCGGCACAGACTAAGTCATTTCGGGACTAACATATGGTTCAATTTTATTTCAATAATTCGCTTGCGCGTAAGGGTCTTTAGCAGTGGGAGGAAACCGGAGGACAAGGAGAAAACCCAGAAGGTTGAACAGGCGACTCTACTCCTTGTCACGTACAACCGAGGAATCGAAACCACACCAGTTGACTTAACAACATACCCCTCGACACTTTCCTCGGGTAAAATACAATGAGGTTTAACGTCTTACTGTGCTGTGCTGACTGGGCGAATGAAGATTAGCATACGCCATACAGTGTGCTATGAGGGAAATATTTCCCGGGTAGCGGCACTATGGCCTACTTTTTTTTTTTTATCGAATTCCAACTGCTAAGGGATTTCTTACGTGCATGCCACGGGGTTTCTTCCCATCCGAACCACTAGACAGCTGTCCTTGTCAGGCCTTCCTGACAAGGGGAAACCACGCAGGAAAATCTGGATGAATTTTCTCAGCCAATGCAGAGATCGAATACGCGACCCCCAGGATAGCGAGCCAGCGTCTTACCCACTTAACCACCGTGAATCCCACCTGTTACCATTCCATTGCCTGTTTGTTTGGGTAGCTCGAGTTGGGGAATGACATAGACCTGCTGGCACTGTACTACCACTTCCGGTTTCGTAATTATACTACTTCAGGTTCAACGATCTATCTGCACGGCATATATTCTTATGTCATATTCATATCACGTCTAACTCATATCACAACGCATATCACATCTAACTCATATCACGACTATTTAATATCACATCTAACTCATATCACGTCTAACTCATATCACGTCACCATACCTAACTCATATCACGTCTAACTCATATCACAACGCATATCACATCTAACTCATACCACATCTAACTCATATCACGACTATTTAATATTACATCTAACTCATATCACGTCTAACTCATATCACGTCACCATACCTAACTCATATCACGTCTAACCCAAACTCACATCACGTCTAACTTACATAACGTCATCACGTCTAACTTAAATCACGTCTAACTTATATAACGACATCGCGTCTAATTTATATCACGTCATCACGTATAACTTATATCACGTCTAACTTATATAACGACATCACGTCTAACTTATATCACGTCATCACGTATAACTTATATCACGTTTAACATATAGCACGTCATCACGTCTACCTTACTTGTCATCGCGTCTAATTTATCAAGTCTAACTTATATCACATTTAACTTATATCACGTTATCAAGTCTAATTTATACCCCGTTTTACTTATATCACGTCATCAGGTCAAATCTAATTTATAAGTAAACTCTTATGTCTCATTGAAAATAGTATCGCTTCTTTAAATCTTTAAAGAAACGAAAAATATTTTCAAAATGAAAGTAAAGTAAGCCTAAAAAGTGATATAATATTTACAGTAAAAACTAATTGTTATTTTCCTCACACACGTCATGCACGATACAACACAAACAAAGACTCATTAAAACTCAAATCAAGACTTTTAGAGGTGTATTGTTTATGACTAACAGACTGATATGATACACGATTCTGTTTGTTTTCAAAATAAACAAAAGGAAATATATGTATTATTAAACATTTAATGTAACACAAGAGTTTAACCTACGGATATTTGTAAATGAAATGAAATGGGGTTTATAGGCCTTCTTTTCTGATTTTCTGGCGTGGTTCCCCTTTGTCAGTGATGCAGGACGGAGGACCTGACAAGGACAAATTTCTAGTCGTTCGGATGAGACGAAAAACCGAGGTCCCGTGTACACATTGGCGTGCACGTAAAAGATTCCTTGACAGTTGGAATTCGATATAAGAGTAGGCCGTAGTACCGCTGTCCGGGGAAAATTTCCCTCATAGCACACTGTATGGCGTATGCCTGTCTTCATTTCCTACTTTTGTGCACCTACTGGGCTAATGAAGACGGGCATACACCGTGCTATGAGAGAAATTTTGCCCAGTCAGCGGTGCCATGGCCCACTCGTATATAAATATCAAATTCTAACTGTCAAGATTTCTTTCATTCGCTTGCATGTAGGGGTCTTTAGCAGTGGGAGAAAACAGGAGGATCCGGAGATTACCCACGAGGTCGGATAGACGACCCTACTCCTTGTCACGTACAAGTGGAGAATCAAAACCACGCCACTTGACTCAATGACAGACCTTATGATGCAACGCGCACGCGTTAACCATTCGACCAACCAACCTCCCGTGAAGAATGACGACCAGTGAATATGTTTAAATGTATTTAATTGAACTGTCAGTGAGAAGATGAAAGAATAGATTGTTTGGTTTTAAAATAGAATCTGCCTGTTTTACTAATCGCCATGTGACAATAAAAAAACATTATCATTATAACAATCATCTTGTCTCAGATAAATTTCTCAAACCAGGAATGATATCGGTCTAAGATCAATACACAGAATGTCTTCAATACGTTCGGTAATCGCAACTGTCAGATATACAGATAGTACACCGTCGATTCTTCCGCCATTTTAAATTCTGGTTAAACAGTCTGATTACAATACAGATCAATGTATCGTTTTTTTTATAGAGAGAGAAAGAGAAATGGGGTTTAACGTCCACTCGACACAAACTAGGTCATTTCGGGACCAACATATGGTTTAATTTTATTTTAATAATTCGCTTGCGCGTAGGGGTCTTTAGCAGTGGGAGGAAACCGGAAGACCCGGAGAAAACCCACGAGGTTGGACAGGCAACCCTACTCCTTGTCACGAACAACTGGGGCATCGAAACCACGCCAGTTGACTCAATGACAGGCCTAATGATACAGCGCGC